TGTACAATTAGCACAGCCCCACCCCCCCAAGGCTGTATGCTTTCTCCACTTCTCCCTATATACTAATGTCTACATCTCAAATGATCCATCTGTTAAAATACTGGAGTTTGTAGAAGATACAACAGTGATTGGTTTCATTTGAGACAATGATGAATCTGCATACAAACAGGAGGTTGTACAACTTGCCTCATGGTGTAACTGGAACAATTTGGAACTGAACTCACTCAAAACCGTAGAAATGGGGGTAGACTTTAGGAGAAACCCTCCCTTCCTACCACCTTTTACAATACTAGACAACACAGTATCAATAGTAGAAACCTTCAAATTTCTAGGTTCTATCATATCACAAGACCTAAAATGGACACCTAACATAAAAAACGTCATCAAAAAAGCACAACAAAGAATTTTCTTTCTGCGCCAACTCAGAAAACTCAAACTGCCCAAGGAGCTGCTGATACAGTTCTACAGAGGAATTATTGAGTCTGTCATCTGCACCTCTATAACTTTGGTTCTGCAACCCAACAAGACAGACATAGACTTCAGAGAGTAATTAGGACTGCAGAAAAAACAATTACTACCAACCAGGGGTGGGATTCTACCGGTTCTGTCCGGCTCAGTAGAACCAGTAGCTCTGAAGAGCAGCAGACACCGAACCGTTCTATGTCTGCTGCTGTTTTGGCCCACCCGCCTGGGCTCTTACCTGACCTTTATTTCCTGCTTTTTCAATCTCAGCTGCTTTGCGCGGCACAGCTGCAGTTGAAAAAGCAGGAAAATAGTGCTGCTTAGCTGTCCGGGCAGCACAGCTGATGACATTTCACACGTGTGCACAGCAAAACATAAATAATCGAACCAGTAGTTACACCGGTTGGATCCCACCCCTGCTGCCAACCTGCCTTCCATTGAGGACCTGTACATTGCATGAGTCAAAAAGAGGCTGTGAAAATATTTACAGACTCCTCACATCCTGGACATAAACTGTTTCAACTCCTACCCTCAAAACAACACTATAGAGCATTGCACACCAGAACAACTAGACACAAGGACAGTTTTTCCCCGAAAGCCATCACTCTGCTAAACAAATAATTCCCTCAACCTTGTTCAACTATTACAAAGTCTGCACTACTATTACTGTACCTTGTCATCACTCCTTATCACCCATCCGCTCCCACTTGTGACTGTATGACTGTAACTTTGTTGCTGGTATACTTACGATTTATATTGACTTTTTTGTAGTATGATTGATTGCTTATTGTACCCTATGACTATCATTAAGTGTCGTACCTTATGATTCTCGACTCCTGATGAATGTATCTTTTCTTTTATGTATACTGAGAATATTTACACCAAGACAAATTCCTTGTGTGTCCAATCATACTTGGCCAATGAAGAATTCTAACTATGCGCTTTGTGAGATATGATCAGGGAATGTAAACACCTTGACTCACTGGTCCAGAAGTTCCTGTCTGATTCTTTCTCCTGTGCCCACTCAGGTCCAATTCAGCTAGTTGTCAATGTTTTCTTACAACAAGACTTTAAGCTGTCTATACAATTATTGGGGTGCAAGGGCATCTCAGAAGTTTGGTAGTGAATGTAACTCTATGATCTGTGTGGATAATCACTTTCCATGACTGAGTGGAGAAGACAAAGTGTACCTCTGTGCTCCTAGCCCAGCACTATATCCATCCTATCCTATACCCTCCCTATGCTCAGACTGAAGAAACTGGCTGTCAATTTGCAAGACATCCCTGACCTGCTCTCGCGTTGCCATAGGCAAAGGGGATGGGAAAGCGAACTTCGCAAATACATCAAGGAGCTGGCATGTTAGTCAAAACAAGGTACATTCCAACCAATACGCTGAGGTCACCTCCCCAGAAACCCACAGTAGCTGGAGGGATTGACTTTTACAACCCACAAAATTTCTTCGTTGGGGAACGTGACTGATGACACATATTGGGGGAGGGGGAAACAGGGTCAGAGGCAAAGCCCAAATTAACTGAGTTCAGAGTTGGCTCCACCTGGTTTGTGCAGCCATGAAGCTTCTAATAAATAACTGGATTTCTTTTTAAACTTGGCTTGAAACTCATGATTTAATTAGGGCATCTTTTGGAACCCTGACACTGGCCTTGGGAGATATGCAAACTCCATGACTAAAGAGGTGAGGGGAAAATGTATCTCAAGTCTGCAGCATGTGGATCCTATTCAGAGGAGACTCAAATAAATCTTGCTAATTCACAGAAGAAGGGGGGAGAAGGTACAAAGAAAATACTTTACATGTGTTTTCATCCAAAAAGAAGGCATGACACAATTTACCAAAAACAGAATCATAAGTGCCAGATTAGGAATGCAAATTAGAATTTGGAAAAATAAAGTAAGAGAATACATGTTGGCTCTAGACCAATTCAAATCACTGGGTCTGGACGGATGGCATCCCAGAGTTCTGAAGGAACCACCAAAGGTGATTTCAGAACCATTTTAACATACGTTTCAAAGAGCTTGGATTACGGGGGAACTAGAGGTAATCCTCGACTTACAACATTTTAATTTAGTGACTGAACTTACGACACTGAAAAAAGTGACTTATGATCATTTATCACACTTACGACCGTTGTAGCACCCGGATGGTCATGTGCTTTACATTCAGGTACTCAACAACTGGCTCAGATTTATGATCGGGTGTAGTGTCCCAGATTCATGTGATCCCCATTTGTGACCTGCTGACAAGGGAAGTCAATGGGGAAACCAGATTCACTTAACGACCGTGTCATAACCATGTTACTAATTTAAAAACTGCAATAATTCACTTAAACGTGGCAAGAAAAGTAATAAAATTGGGCAAAACTCACTTAACAAGTTTCTCACTTAACCACATACATTTTGGGCTCAATTGTGGTTGTAAGTTCAGGACTATCTGTAACTGAGGATGGAAAAGAGCTGATGGGGTTCCCATCTTCAAAAAAAAGGAGGGGGGAGAACAAATCCAGGAAATTACACACAGATCAGCCTGACATTAATACCTGGTAACATCTTGGAAAACATATCCAGGCAGCAAATCTGTGAACACCTAGAAGCCAGTGGTGGAATTCAAATATTGTTGCCACTGGTTCAGTGGGCGTGGCTTGGTGGGCGCACTTTGCATGCACGTACGCACCAAATGTGCTCTTTGCGCAGGCGCAGAGCCATTCTAACTCGCCTCCTGCAAGCCTGCACGATCCCGATTGTTTCAGCAGCTGCTGCGCAGCACTATTCTGTGCCATGCAAAGCAGCTGTGCTTCAAATTCAGCAGATAAAAGTGAGTATGGGAGCCCGGGTGGGCAGGTGGGTCCAACAGCAGAGCAGTGGAGAGAACCAGTTCGGTCTCTGCTGCTCATTGCTCCTATCGGCTCACCGGAACCAGCCAGAACCGGCCAAATACTAACACTGTTAGAAGCAAACAAAATTATAACCAGTAACCAACATGGGTTGATCAAAAACAGATCATGCCAAACAAACTTCATTTCATTCTTTGACAAAACGACTAAATTAGTGGACCAGCGAAATGCTGTGGACATTGTATACTTAGATTTCAGTAAAGCATTTAATAAAGTAGATCACAACCTACTTCTGCAAAAGGTACAAAAATGTGGGAGACACAGCACCACCACAAAATGGATTCTTAACTGGCTGACAAATTGTATTCAATATATAGTCCTCAATGGAACTACACCAACATGGAGGGAAGTAAGCAGTGGGGTATCCCCAGATTGAATTTTAGACCCGGCACTGATCAAAATCTTCAAAAACTATCTAGACAAGGGAATAGAAGGGGAACTCGTCAAATTTGCAAATGACACTAAACTGGCAGGAATTGCCAACACTCCAGAAGACAAGCTCAAGACCCAGAAAAGACTTGACACACTTGAACAGTGGTTCCTATCGAACAATATGATATTACACAGATAAAAGTAAAGTTTTACACTTAGACAAAACAAACCAACTGCCTAGGTATCAACTAGGTGAAACCTGGCTTAATGCCAGTAACTGTGAGAGGGATTTTGGAGTCCTAGTGCACAATCACTTAAATGTGATCCAACAGTGAGTGACAGCAGCCAAAATAACCAATACAATCCTAAGCTACATTAATAGAATTAAGATCACATGAAGTTATAATACTGCTTTACAAAGCTTTAGTAAGTCTAGAGACTCTGGAAAGAGTGTAGAGAAGAGCAACAAAGATGATTAGGGGGCTGGAGGCTAAAACACACAAATAATGGTTACAGGAATTGGGTATCTCTAGTCTAATGAAAAGAAGGACAAGGGGAGACATGATAGCAGTATTCGTATATTTGAGTGGCTGCCATAAAGAAAAGGGGGTCAACTGATTTTCCAAAGCACAAGAAGGCAAGACAATGGATGGAAACTAATGAAGGAGAGAAGCAACTTAGGTTCTCCTGCTTGATCGGGTTGGAGTCAAGACCTCCAAGGTCCCTTCCAGATCTATTCAGATTGATTGATTGATTGATCTTGAAAGCTGCATCCTTGAATTTGCTGTTGAGTTTGGTGTTGTGGTGAAGGCAGCAGGTAAGAGGCATAGAAATGCTCAGTTCCAGTCCCACCTGAAGGGCAAAACCATCTGTTCAACTTTGGTCAGTCCTAGGAAGCAGGAAAAGGGGGAAAGCCCTTCCAAAAACCCTTGCCAAGGACACTGCAAGGCCAGGCATCAAGACTGACCCAAAGGCTTAACCAAAGCTAAGTAGTGTCAGGTTTCACTATTTCACGGGGCTCAGTTACAAAGCTCAGTTGCTAGGAGTACAAAACGATCTCCTGCCATATAAACAATGAAAACATCTTCCAAATGCTTGGTGGAGCCTGGACAAAGCGTGTTTTTCCACGTCCTGTCGCTAGATGGCGGTAAGGTAACATTGGTGCCTAGAAAGGCATCAATTCAGTAGTGCCATCTGCGCTTGAGTTTTAAATCATTGAGTACTGCATTGCTAGAAAGGAGGGGAGAGGAGGAGAAGCGTAGGGGAACTTCCTGTTCCGGATGAATCATGGGAGGAAGTTGGTGGGCAGAGCGGCTTCTGTTCTCTTCCCAGGATGGAAGCAGCAGCTGGCAGGTGAGTTGGGGGCAGCAGGTGGGAGGAGAGTCCGGGAGCAAGTCGGGCTGTTCGGTTCCCTCCACGGCCTGGAAGCAGAGAAGCAACTGGGCTGAAGCGTGTCAGCTGCTGCTGGTTCCTTCCCTCCCCAGATGGAAGCCCGCTGGGGCTGCACGCTGTGAAACTGGCGGCTGCAATTTTCTGCTGGGGGGGAGATCTAAAAAGCCTCTTTCAAGCGAAGGTGGATCCTTTGGGAATGGCTCCCCTCCAGAGGTTGTGGGGGCTCCGTCACTGGAGGGTCTTCAGAGGAGATTGGACAGCCGTTTGTTCGGAATGGAATTGGGTCTCCTGCCTGAACGGGATGGACTAGTAGACCTCCAAGGTCCCCCCAACTCAATTATTCTGTAGTGGAACAGATGTTTTCTGGGCAACAAGATCGGACTTTTTTAGGTTATTGTTTTAGGGTTTTTTTAAGGTTATTGTTATTTTGTTTTACTTCCATTTCTAACTTACAAGCACCGTCTTTCCATATTGGTTCCCCCAATAGTATTAACTAGGTTCAACTGTGCTTAATGCAGCACTTTTTTAAAAAATAGCTATTGATCAGATTGCTTAGTGACACAGATGCCAGTCCCAATTGCAGTCAGTAAGTGAGGATACTTCAGTTGAGATGTCACCAAAGGGATTGTGGAAAGTATTTTCTGCCCTTACTTGGAGTTCATGGCTTCTACAGGCAAAACTGGTGAGTCAAATCTTGCAGAGGCTTCAGGCATCATTTCATCAGTTAAAGCCCCACATCTGTAAAGTTAGTGTCATGCAGACTAAGAGGTGTGGCTTGGTTAAAAAAAAAAAAAGACAGAGTCCAAGTGTGGGTGTGTTGATAAGCCCACACATTTATTCATCTGAATAAAGATGGGTCCCTCCGAAGGAGGAAGGAACCCAGAACTGGGGATGGGATTCTACCAGTTTGTTCACCTCTTAGAACCGGTAGTTCTGAAGAGCAGCACACAGAGAGCATACATAGAACTGGTTCTATGTCTGCTGCTGTGTTGGCCTGCCCGCCCACCTGGGCTCTTACCTGACCTTTATTTCCTGCTTTTTCAATCGCTACTGCTTTGCGTGACACAGCTGCGGTTGAAAAAGCAGGAAAAAAGGGCTTTTCCAACCACTGCGCACTTGCATGCAGCGCTGCTCAGCTGTCCGGGCAGCTCAGCAAGTCGTAAATTGCATTTGCGCGACGCAAAGCAACAGAACCGGTAACTACCGATCGGATCCCATCCCTGCCCAAAATGTAGTACAAGGCAGATATTGATACATTTCTTTGCTTTTGCTTCATTACATAAGAGGCAGCTGGCACTTGACAGATAAGATATAGAAATATAGAAATTATAAAAATTACAAAAATAGTCAAGCATGCCTTCTATGGTTTTGGTCACATGCCTAACCCACAGATTAGTGTGGGTGTAGGCAACCCTAGGCTCTAAGAGCCGCATGTGTCTCTTTGGGCCCTCTGCTGTGACTCCCTGTCCCATCACCGGCTGGCCCCAGCCCTCGCCCTCCCCTTACCTGGCCTGAGAAGGTATCAAAAAAAAAAGTGGGGGGGAGATACAGAGAGAGGGGGAAAAAAGGGAGAGAGAGAGGTAGACTTTTTTGTGGCTGGGTAGATGTGGCTAGGGGGTCTTGTGACTGGGTGGAGCGAGTGATATCAAATTGGCAATGCCCATCCAGGTGTTTTGGCTCCTGGTGTTTTGTTTTTCTGTGGGAAAGGGGTCCAAATGGCTCTTTGAGTGTTTAAGGTTGCAGACACCTGGGCTAGTGGTTTCCTGTGAAAGTTTCCATGGTCTCAGAAGCCTGTTCAGGGCTGAACTTCACGTTGTGATCTCAACAGATGAGCAATCATCAAATTCATCAGATTCCTGATTAACATTAGCACAGAAGTTTTGACTAACCATTTTGAGATGTTTTTTTCAGGCTTGAAAGACATGGATTTTTTTTCCATATCGTAGCTGTGTGTATTTTTATTTCTCTTTGAATGTATATATCTGCAAATGTATAATCTCTTCCCAGGGCTTCCAGATATACAGTCATGTGAAAAAGAAAGTACACTCTCCTTGATTTTTATGATTTTACATATCAGGATGTAATCAAAATCAGTTGGTCCTTAAAAAAGTTCTTCAAAGTAGGTAACTACAACCACAGATGGACAACAATACATAGCATATTACATCATATCATTTATTTTATAAAAAGAAAGCCAAAACGGAGAAGTCGTGTGTGAAAAATGTAAGATTCAATAATTTGTAGAACCACCTTTAGCAGCAACAACTAGAAGTAATTCTTTTCTGTGTGACTTTATCAGTCTCTTGCAGCATTGTGGAGGAATTTTGGCTCACTCTTCTTTACAACATTGCTTCAGTTCATTGAGGATTGTGGGTATTTTTTTATGCACAACTGTCTTGAGGTCCCTCCAATCGGGTTGAGGTCTGGACTTTGACTGCCATTGGAACATCTTGGTTCTCTTCTTTTTCAGCCATTCTGTTGTAGATTTCCTGATGTGTTTTGTGACCATTGTCCTGTTGCATAATCCCATGTCAGCCTAGCTTTAGCTATTGGACAGATGGCCTCACTTTTGACTCTAGAACACTTTGGTATACAGAAGAGTTCAAGGTTGACTCAAAGATTGCAAGGTGTCCAGGTCCTGCGGCTGCAAAACAAGCCCAAACCATCACCTCTCCACCTCTGTTGTTGACGGTTTGTATGAGATGCTTGCGCTGATACTCTGTGTTTGGTTTTCATCAAACGTGTCACTGTGCATTATGGCCAAGCATCTCCATTTTGGTCTGGTCTGTGACAAGGACAGTGTTCCAGAGGTCATGTGATTTGTTCAGATGCAACTTTGCAAACATCAGCCGTGCTGCTAAGACCTTTTTAGAGAGAAGAGACTTTTCCCTGATAACCCTTCCAAACAAACCATACTTGCTCCGTCTTTTTCTAATTGAACTGTCATGAATTTTAATATTTAACAAGCTAACTGAAGCCTGTAAAGTCTGAAACATAATTCTTTGGGTGTTTTTGCAATTTCTCTGGCCATTGCATTGTGTGGCCTTAGGGAGAATTTTCTTGGATGTCACTCGTGGGAAGATTGGCAACTGTCTTGAATGTTTCCCACTTGTGAATAATCTTCCTCACTGTAGAATGATGGATTTTAAATTGTTTGGAATTGGCTTGTTAAACCTTCCCAAATCGATGGGCAGCAGCAGTTCCTTTTCTAAGATAATTGCTGATTCTTTATTCTTTGCCACTGTGTTAACACACACCTCAATGCCAGAGATCAGCAAACTCCTACAATATCAGCTTTTATAGATGTAGTTATACTTGCTGATGATATAATTGATCAATGGCACTGTATTAGCAGTAGTACTTGGCTGCTATTTCACCTCATAATACTATGGAAGCAGTGAGAAATTTCCTCATGGTGAGAACAATTAACCAGAAGAAAGGCTGGCTTTGAGAGTTTTGCTGCTCCATCACTTGAGGCTTTTCATATATGTTTTATTTGTAATGTTCCTTTAATGTTCCGTACATATTTTGTGGACAGTGTATTTACTGGGTCAATATACTTTTTACACAATGCTAACAATAATAAGGGACGCGGTGGCTCAGTGGTTAAGACGCTGAGCTTGTCGATCAGAAAGGTCAGCAATTCAGCGGTTTGAATCCCTCGCATCTGAGTCTTTAATCTTTCTCCATGTATCCAATAGCTGCTTTCTTAATGTTTGGAGATTATTTTTTGAAACTCTTTTTTACTTGGGTTAGATCTTTTGAATAAAAGTTGGCAGTTATCTCACTCAGTTTCAATGCCCTGTCCACAAACCACTCCAGCACAATTCTTATTGTCCCAGTTGTCACAGCTTGTGACTTGCCAAAATGGCCCTCATCCCTGCTGCCTTTCGGGAGAGCTTTCTTCGGACCTAACAAGAAAATTGTGGTTTCCTCGTGATCAATAAAGCACTTCTCCTTCCTTCACCACCCCTCCAGGGCGGGTTTGAACCTGTAGGGCAGGGGTCCCCAAACTTGGCAACTTTGAGACTTTTGAATTGAAGTCCACAAGTCTTAAAGTTGCCAAGTTTGCAGACCTCTATTGTAGTGTTTCCCGGCAGATACTAGCTGGTTTTCACAGAGCTTGGCGGAGCTCCGCTATTTTCTTGCTGTTCCTGCCGCGACACCAACTGGCCTCCCCATTTGAGGCTTTTCAGAAAAGATGAGACAGCCACTTGTCTGAAGTGGTATAGGGCCTCTTTCTTGAGCAGGGGCTGGATTAGAAGATCTTCAAGGTCCCTTCTAATTCTATTCTGTTCTTTTTATTATTATTATTAAAAAAATATTTTATATTTTAGAATAATTCCATTCCATTTTTATTTATTTTATTTTTTTAAACAAAATTACAAATCTCTATTTATATTAACAGTATTGTATCATTAGTAATACATATTAAGTAATACATTAGTAACATCAATTGTTATTTCTATGTTCTACCCATTTATACAACCTATCCCAAACCACATAATCGTCCTATTCATCCTTGCCTTTTAATTCTGCTGTGAGCTTATCCATCTCCGTGCAGTCTAGTATTTTTTGTATCAGGTTCTCTTCGGATGGTATCTTTTCCGTTTTTCGGCCCTGTGTGAAAACTATCTTCGCCACAGTTATTATATGTAGAATGATGTTTTGGATATACTTGCTAAATTTTCCCTTAATTATTCCTAATAAAAATATTTCAGGTTTAAAATCTATTCGGTGTTCTGTAATTTCTATTTTTAATTTATGGGCTAACCATCTCCGTTGTTTGTTGGCATATTCAAAGAAATTCTGTTTCGCCATTTTTAGGTCCTTTAACTTTTCTTCCTGATTTATCACATTTAATTTATGTTTGGCTAAGACCATTTTCCCTTTCCCTTTCTCATCTTGTGGTGTTCTTTGTAATTTAATTTCTAACTTTTTAATCTCCTATAACCTAGTTT